ATTAGGCCCAGGTTTCCTGTCTGAGCAAGAGGCACAGAGATTGAGAGGGAGCTAAAAATATCCATCCCCAGGCAGCCTTTCCCAAGGGCACAGGCCTGGTGTTTGGATGGAACCCATACACAAAGCTCCTTTGAGGGGGAGGGGTTATCATCCTGCTGGTCAGCTGAGAAGCTGAAGTTGGATGAATCAAGAATGTCAAGAGCTGGCACCTTAGAACACATGATGTTAGGGCTGAGAGGCCTTAGAATATGAAACGTCAGGATTGGAAGGGGCCTCAGAGCACGGAATAGTATGTCAGTGAGGGAAGTGACTTTAGGGTACAGAATGGCACTGGAAGGTATCTTAGAACATGGAATGTCAGGGTCGGAAGGGACCTTAGAACACGGAATGACAGTGTTGGAAAATACCTTAGAACAAATATATCAAAGAAAGAAATCTTAGAAGACAGACTACCAGAAAAGGAAGGAATTTTAGAACACGTAATGTCAGAGTTAGAAGGGGCCTTAGAACACGGAATATTAGAGATAGAGACCTTAGAACATAGCATGTCCAAATTAGAAGTCACTTTAGAACACAGAATGTCAGAGCAGGGAGTAACCTTAGAACAGATTATCAGAGAAAGACCCTAGTACACAGACTGTCAGTGATGGGAGAGGCTTTAGAACACAGAATGAGCTAGAAGGGACCTTAGGACAGAAAACATGGAATGTCAGAATCACGAAATACCGGTCACTTAGCCCTACCAACAGCAAGTGACAGGTCTCAGATCTCACCTGTGGGAAGAGGACAGATAGGATATGCAAGGCCCTAAGTCTACCTGGGGAAAACCCTGGGCCACCAGGTGGAGCTCAAAATCCTACAATGGATCCTACAGGCAGCTCCTCCTCTAGATTTTAGCTGGATAGAGGGAAAAACTTGCTAGGAATGGCCTTGGATGATAATAGTCATGTTTGCAAAGTGTTTTCCTCACAACAGACTTATGAGGTGGGGAGTGCCAATATTTCCATTTTGCAGATGAAAAACTGAGGCTTCCAGGTCAAATGGCTTCCCAAATAGTAAATGGTGGGTCTGGGATTCCAACTCAGCATGTTAGATTCCAATCCAGTACTATCTCAATAACTGCAACCTCTTTGCTGCAGAAGCTACAGGGTTCACACTGTCTTTGCATTTCCTCTCTGCCATGAATATATTTCCATTCAGGGTCTGGTGCTAAGCAGCCCAAAATCTGTAAGTCATAGACCCAAAGAACTTTGCTGGGATGAATCTCTATCAGGAGGCCAGAGCAGGCAGAGTCCTTCTACACAGGCTCTTTTGAGCCTCTCACTCTTTTTTAGGGCATAGTCATCTCAGAGGTCTGCAAGCTGCAGAGACCTGATTTCTTCCCTCTGTCCATACACATGAGGCAGTCGGAGACACATGGATCCCTTCCTCCAAAGGTCTCCGTTCTCCTCAGAAATCTCCAACAGAATCACCCTTCCTGGGCCTGGACTCAGTGGTACATAACTTCCACAAAAGCTTGTAAACTTATGAGTGGGAGGTAGAATGAATGGAATCAGAGTACCTAGTCACCACTCACTGGCATCGGAGTCATTCCTGCTGCTGGGGCAGCTAATTTTAATTACTCTCCTCCAACCACAGAATCTCAGAATGGAAGGGGACCTTGGAGGCCATCTGGTCCAATCTCTATCTGTACAAGGGTTGCCTCCACAATATATATGACAAGGGTCAGATATGTTCATTCTGCTGGTGACTTTTGAGAAGGGAGACAATGAAGCCATGTGTCTGTGTCTGTCTTTGGAGACTTTCAGAAGCCTCCCATTCCACTTGTGTGACTAATTATCAGTTTTTTTCCTTACATCTAACCTAAATCTTCCTCTTTACAAAGCCCTCCTCCCCACAACCACACCCTCAATTTCTTCTTGTCCTGCCTTCTAAGGCAAAGCAGAACAAGCCCAGTACTTCCCTCCCCCAATGATGTGACATCCCTTTAAACACTTGAAGATAGCTATAGGTCTCCCGCAAGGCTAAACACTCCCAGTTTCTTCAGTTACTATTACTGTTATCATTCAGTCATTTCAGTCAAGTCCAACTCTTTGTAAGGCCATTTGGGGTTTCCTTGGCAAAAATACTGGAGGGGTTTGCCATTTCCAGCTCATTTTTACAGATGAGGAAACTGAGGCAAACAGGGTTAAATGGCTTGCCCAGGGTCACATAGCTAGTAAGTGTCCGAGGCCGGATTTGAACTCAGGTCTTCCCAATTCCAGGCCCAGTACTCTATCCACTGGGCCACTTAACTGCCCAAGCAAATATTACATGACATAATCCAGAGGCCCTTGATTAATTTACTAATCCTCCTCTGGGTGCTCTGTCCTTCCTAGAATGTAGCAAAACCCAAACTAACAATACTTTAGATGTGCTCTGACTGGGGCAGAGGATAGAACTATCATTACCCTCCCAGACACTGCACCCCATTCAATGTAGACCAAGACCTCATGAGCTTTTTCAGCTGCCTTATCACTTGTTTGATTCACACAGAGCTTGCTGTCCATTAAGAACATCAAGATCTTTTTCAGCCATATCTTCCTCATCTCTTACATAAGTTGATTTTTTGAACCAAAGTTTAAGACTTTACTTTTGTCTCTCTTGCATTCTATCTTACTAGGTTTGGCCCAGTGTCTTAGTCTTTTTGAAATTCAATGCATCCGCTCTAAACAGAAGCAATATAATAAACCCAGTTGCTTTGCTTGCCCATTACTGCTATCTCATGCTCTCTCAGTGTTAACAGACTCAGTCTGTCATTGCATGACTGGTGTGGTTTCATGGCCTGCCCAAGCCTTTATTTACTCAGCTGTGTTGCACATTGAGTACTGGATTTAGAGTCAGGAGACCTAGATTTGAACCCTGGCTCTTCTAGCTGTTAGCTGACCCAGAGCAGTCACAGGTCACTTGTTGTGAGACCTTGGGTAAATCAATTCCCCCTTCTGGTCTTCAGTTTCCTCTTATGTAAAATGAAGATAATATTTCCATCACTATAAATAACAAATATCTGTTTTCCAGGATAGAATATAAGTTCCTTGAGGTCAGGGACTGTTTCTTTTTATTTTATATCCCCGAGGTCTAGCACAGTATCTGGTGCTTAGTAGCTGCTTAATAAATGCTTGTTGTTTGATTGCTTACTTACCTCACAGGGTGGTTGAGATGACAGTACTTTGTAAACTACTGTAAGGCTAGGAAAGAAGGGGTCATTTCCATGAGTCCTACAGCAATGTCTTCTTCCAGCATGGAGATCCCAGAGTTCAAGCTCACTGTGTCTTCTAGTCCAACCTCTCCACTTTTTACAGAAGAGGAAATTAAGACTCAGCGAGGCGAAGTGAAGGCCATATGGCGAAGAAGACTGCTCCTCAATATCACATCCACTCTAGTTTCCAATTAATTTCTAACATGTGCTTCCAAGATCCTTTACTGAATGTAATTTTTTTATTGCATTGTGGTCGGAAAAGGGTATATTTAATAATCCTGCTTTTTTGCATTTGTTTGTGAGATTTTTATGCCTTAATACTTAATCAATTTTTGTTAAGGTGCCACGTGTAGCTGAGAAAAAGGTATACTTCTTTCTACTTCCATTCAGTTTTCTCCAGTGGGCTATCATATCTAATTTTCCTAAAATTATATTCATCTCCTTAACTTCTTCCTTATCTATTTTATGGTTAGATTTATGTCATTTGGAGAGGGGTAAATTGAGATCCCTCACTATTATAGTTTTATTATCTGCTTTCCCCTGTAAGTCACTTAATTTTTCCTTTAAGAATTTGGATGCTATGACATTTGCTACCTTTTTGCAAAATGTAATTTCTCTGCTTATCTCTTTTGATTAGGTCTGTTTTTGTTTTTGCTTTGTCTGAGATCATGATTGATACTCCTGCCTTTTTTTTTTTTACTTTGACTAAAGCATAATAGATTCTGTTCCAGCTCCTTATTTTAACTATGTCCTTTTGTTTCAAGTATTTCTTGTAAACAACATATTGTTGAATTCTGGTTTCTATTTTGCTTTCTGCTTCTGTGTTATGGTGAGTTCATCCACATTCACCCTACCAGCTCAGGCCCGGCCTACCACACTGGACCTTTAGACTGTAAGGGATGCTATGAGAAGTGGCATGTTTTTATCTGAGGTCATACCTAGCTAAATGTGACGGTTAGATTCCACAACATGGTTTCTATTGGTCCCAGCAAATCACGATGACATTTATCAAGGAGGAAAAGGGTTGTGATCTGCAAAGGTGCAGGGAATACTCACAAGGATCCTGGGTCCTTGAAGGATGGAAGTAAATACACCCCTACATCCCTGCTTGATGGACTTTGAGCCATTGACCCTTGGAATGTCACTCCAGGGGGCCTGGGAAGCTTCCCAAATTAAATCTCTTGGAGGGAAATGGTAGCATTGTTTTTAGGAGGAAACAAAAAGTTGGGGAGGCAGGTGGGGGAGATGGAAGGCAATTGGGGATGTTGAAACTTCATTGGGGGCACTCCTCGAGTGTCCCCAAACAAACAGACACATCAGTTACTACAAAGTCATTTACTTTTTATAAAGTATGAGTTAGTCTTCAGGAACATATACAAACCCAACCTTCCCAGGCCCCCAACTTCCTGTGCCCTGCCCCACACACTCCTGAGGGCTGCTGGATTTTCCCTTTCCCGTCCCTCATAGGCAGAGGGCAATAGCTGGGAACAGGACAACAGGTATTGCCTCAGCGGGAAACCCCTAAACACAAAGGGTGTCTCCCAGACATGTCTGAGTCTTTTATGGGACTGGGGAGGTGAAGCAGCAGAAGAAGGAAGCACTTTAAATTCCAGCACAAGTGCCCAAGACTGGGGAGGGGGGGTGGTAAGAGGAGAGGAGCATGTCTAGAATTGCTTTAATAACTTGGACGGAGAGTCAGGAGTCTTCTGTCCTAATCCTGGTTCTGCCACACCCTTGTGTGACCTTGAGAAACTTGCTTTTCTTCTCTGGGCCTCAGTTTTCCCTATCTGTGAAATCAAAGGATTGAACTGATGGCCTCTGAGGTCCCTTCCAGCTTCAAGACTTTGTTCTAAGGTCCCTGATAGCTCTGATGTCATATGTTGTGATCCTCTTACTTCAAGCTCCCCTCCAGGATGAAGGAGGTGAAGGTCGCCTTCCTTCCCGGACCTGCTCTAATCCACCTCTGCCACCCACCCCACCCCAACCCACCCAGCCTGCTGAAAGTACTCTCTCTCTCTCTGCAAGGGTTCCTAGAGCACAAAGTCTGTAAAGTTCCTTTGCTCCTATTTTTGTATCAATAATACTGAACCCAGCACCCTGAACTGTAGTTAGGTGCTTAAATTTTTGTTGGATCTGATTTTTTAATTCTCAAATCCTTGTCAGCTTTAATATTTTACATTCAAAGGAGTCTTCCAGCTCTGACATTCTCTTCTAAGCCTCTGTTTTCTCCACCCATAAAATGGGACCAAGCTTCCCATTGAATATTTTCTCCTTCAACCAGACCCATGAGAGCAACTCAGTCCAAGGGCTCTGTGCTACTTGAAGCTATGCTCCTGTTCCCAGGGCTTGGGAGGGGAGAATGTTAGCCTTTGGCTCTAGAGTTTGCTTCTGTTTTGTCCCATGTGCCTGAATTTTAAAAGGAGAAAAAACATGGGTTTATTATCCATGATGAAGAGAATCAGGAAAAGGGAGGTATGGAAGCATGAAACCAGAACTAGAAGGGACCTGAGAGGCCCCTGAGTCCAACCCCATCACACGTTCTTTGAAACTGACTACCAAAAAGGCCCTAAAAGGGCACCTACTGCCACCTGTCCCTGGGCAAGAATCCCTTCTATATCACTCCAGACAAATGTTAATCCATCCTTTCACAAAAGCCCAGCAATGCACTCTGTCCTAAGGCAGTATGTACAACTTTGGGAGTGCTCTAGTCATATGAAATTATTATTATTAGGTCTTTTTTGGGGATCCAGATGTGCCTTTATGTAACTCCTTGTCCCACCAGGCTCAAAGCTGGATCTTCTGAGGCACAAAAGACTCAGACTGATCCTTTTCCTTCATGACAACTCTTTAGATTTTTGAAGGCAATGACTATTACTCCTTCCCACCCCAAATCATCCCCTAGTTAAACATCCACAATCACTTAATGCTTTAGATATAAAAGGACTTTTTCCCATCTTTCACCAGCATTAAACATACCAACAGGTTACTTTTTTTAGTCACAGCAAACTGAGGCTGACACAGGACGTAGTGGTCTGTCCCAGTGCACCCATCCAGGCAGTGGTAGAGCCCAGGGTGCCTATCTCCCAGTCAGCAACCTCTCTACTTCCTGACACTAACTCTGGAAGTCCAATCCAGTCAGTCATGGTTCTATCCTGGTGCCATGTAGGTGGGGTGTCAAATGTCCACCTCCCTCTTGTCTTCTTGTAGCTGGCCTCAAGGACAAACCCTGCTCTGTCTAATGGATACCTCCACATCCTTTGTGCCTAAACAGCCCATAGCCCTTATCTTGGCCGCCTCCCATTCTCACCCAAATGGAGTATGGGGGACATGCAGAGCTTAGGACTAAGATGCGTGAGTCACTCCGGCCCTAAAGCCGAGCATCCTTGTCCTCACTGATGCCTGGACTGTTTCCAGTCTGCCCACTGTCCAGGGTACTGGTATTTTGAAGCACCATCTTGCTGCCAGCTACTGATGGTGGCTGAATATGGCGGGCAAACCTGACAAACCGCTGGCCAGCCAGGAAGTAGAGCACAGGGTCCAGGAAGCTGTTGGCACTGGCAAGTGGGCGAGTGACCTTATATGCTATGTTGATAGCATTAAGGGACCAACAGCTCACATCCAGAGATCGAAAAGCATAGTAGAGTGTACGGGTGACATGGAAGGGGAGGAAGCAGAGAGAAAAGACAGCCAAGACCAGAAAAATCATCCTCAGTGACTTGCGCTTCGATCGAGAGAGACGGGACTGCCCCGTTGTGGGCCGCAGAAGCTGCCGCACCATCAGCGTGTAGCACACCAGGATGATTAGGAAGGGCACGACAAAAAGCAATACGAGGATGGCCGAGCTGTACGCCACGAAGTTGTTGAACAAGTCGCGGGATGATGTATCGTGGCAAGTGATCCCGTCAGACCGGCTGCTGGTGGTGACAAAGTATAACACGGGTGACTGACAGCCAATCACTATGATCCACACGGCGGCGGCCACTCGTCGAGCATAGCGCACGTTGCCCCAGCGCAGTGACTGTAGAGGGTAGCAGATGCCAAGGAAGCGGTGGATGCTGATGCACAGCAGGAAGAGGATGCTGCCATAGAGATTGGTATAGAAGAGGAACCGGACCAGCTTGCAGAGGGTCGTGCTAAAGGGCCAGTGGTCACCTTGGGAATAGTAGTAGATGAGGAGGGGCAAGGAGACCACGTAGAGGGTGTCAGATATGGCGAGGTTGAACATAAAGGTGGTGGTAGAGTTCCAAGTTTTAATCCGGCAGAGGAAAACGTAGAGGGCCAGGGCATTGAGACATAGGCCTAGCACACAAACCACACCGTAGGACACAGGCAGCAGCACGTACTTAAAGTCCTCATCTAACTTGCACTTGTAAGGATGCTCATTCACCTCCAGAGAGCTGTTAGCACTTTGGTTCCAGGGGAAGATGGTGGTACTCTCCATTGCCCTGAAACGACAGGTAAGAGACTGTCAAGAACCTATCAAGAACCACAGGTCCATGCTGGAAGAGTCCACCCCAAACCTTCCCTTCCCATGACCTGACATTCAAAAATTAATTATTGGTTATTCAATTGATTATCCAAGAGATTATTGGAACTACAAATGCATAGGAAGTTAGATTTAGCACCTGAGAGATTATCAAGCACAACCCTCTCATTTTATTTATTTATTTTTGTGGAGCCATCGGGGTTAAGTGACTTGCCCAGGGTCACACAGCTAGTGAGTATCATGTGTCTGAGGCCAGATTTGAACTCAGACCCTCCTGACTCCAGGGCTGGTGCTCTATCCACTGTGCCACCTAGCTGCCCCTCTCTCATTTTATAGAAAAGGAAACTAAGGCCTAGAGAAGCTAAGTAACTTGCACAAGATTACATACAGAGCCAAGATCTTAATGACCTTTTCTGCAACGATGGGCTTTAAATCAAAAGTCTGGAGTCCAAATACCTGGAAGCAACCTGTAAACCTGTGAAACTGTGTAAAAGCATAGGATTTGGGCTAGAATGGATTATACTAATGTTATACTAATAACTGGATTCAAATCCCAGCACAGCTGCTTGCTGCCTGTGTGCCTCTGGGTAAATTGGTCAATCCTTCAGAGCCTCAGTGCCCTGTGTAAAATGTGGGTGTTGGACTTTAAGGGCCCTCCCATCTTCATCATCATCCTTTTGTTTTTATTTTATTTTTAAGGCCTCCTCTTCAATGAATTAGGATTCTGTTGCTGACCAGTTATACAGCTATGAGCATGTCACTTCACCCCCGGGCCTAATTTTTCTGATATATAAAATTAAGATTAATTACTTAAGATCTGCCTTGGAGGTATCTCTAGTTAATCCCTCTCCTCCACTCTCTTACCTTCTAACTCACACTGCTATATCATATCTAGAATCCTTTCTCTCCTTCTTACCATCACAGAAGCTGAGTGGTGCAATGGATAGAGCGCTGGGCCTGGAGTCAGGAAGACCCGAGTTCTGATCCAACCTCAGACACTATGTGATCATGGGTAAGTCACTTAACCTCTATCTACCTCAGTTTCCTCAACTGTAAAATGGGATTAATAATAGCCTCTACCTCCCAGGGTTGTTGTGAGGAACAAATGAGATAATATTTGTATAGCACTTAGGATAGTGCCTGGTACACCGTAGGTGCTTAATAAAGGCTTATATCTTTCCTCCTTGGGAGAAGGGACTGCTTCATTTTTGTCTTTCTATGCCCAGAATCTAGTATAAGTACTTGGGATACAGCAGATACTTAATAAATGCTTTTGATAATTGATTGACAGGGTCTATCCACAGCCATCTACTCCCTCAGTAAAAATTTAAAGAATTTTTTACAAGTGCTTGTTTCTTAAAGGCTCTTACCACCACAAATTTAAAAGAAAACCTCTAAATTTAGAAAGTGCCTACGTTAAAAACTCATTGGGTATATCACAAAAAAGGGGAAACAATCTACATGTGCAAAAATATTTATAGCAGCCCTTTTTGTGATTGTAAAATATTGGAAATTAAGGGGATACCCATCAACAGAGGAACTGCTGAACAAACTGTAGTATATGAACGTAATAGAATACTATTGTGCAATAAGCAATGATGAACAGGCAGATCTCAGAAAATCCTGGAAAGACTTGAATGAACTGATGCAAAGTAAAATGAGCAAAACCGGGAAAACATTGTACACAGTATCAACAACATTGTGTGATGATTAACTGTGAATGACTCAGCTCTTCTCAGCAACACAGTAATCCAGGACAAGTAAAAAGGACTCATAAAGGAAAACGCCATTCATATCTAGATAAAGAACTGGTGGACTCTGAATGCAGAGTGAAGCATTTTTTTAAATTTTTTTACTTTTTGAGGCAATTGGGGTTAAGTGACTGGCCCAGAGTCACACAGCTAGTAAGTGTCAAGTGTGTCTAAGGCCAGATTTGAACTCAGGTCCTCCTGACTCCAAGACCAGAGCTCAATCCAAATGTACTACCTAGCTGCCCTGGAAGCATATTTTTTTCCCACTTACTTTATTTAATCTCTTTCTTCTTTCACAACTGTGACTAATATGGAAAATTTTTTACATGATAGCACATGTAAAAACTATATCAAACTGCCTACAATTTTCAGCAGAGGGGAGGAAGAAAAATTTGGAACTCAAAATCTTGTAAAAATGAATGCTAAAAATTTTCTTGACATGTAACTGGGGAAAAAAATAAAATACTATTTAAAAAAACTATAGAAACACTAGCAAATCTATTCTATTCTTACCTCTTTATGTCCATCCAGTTCCATCTAAAAATGTTCTTGGAGTGATCTGGTTTAGCATAGATTTATGCTAAACTTCCAGTAGATTCATTTTGCCTTGTATTCATTTTGGTGTTTTGTGGGCTGGTACTACTTAACAATCTTCCACCACTGTCCTCCATTTTGTGTTCTAAACTACCCTTAAATTTGGCTTTCATGTCTCCCAGCCTTGCAAGGAGATTGAGGTGCTTTCTGAATTCTTTTGACTTCATTGTAGCCATTGCTTTATTGTAATTGTAAGAAATGGTCATAGTCTGTACCAATGTCTTTGGTTTTCCTCAACTCCCATTTTTGACATTAACAGCTTGTTTGACTAAATCATGTTGGAACTGTGGTAATTTAAAAAATAATACTCATTAGATATTTTCTACATTCTAAAAGATAAATTCTGTGTATTGCTGAAAGGATGCCTGAAGCCTAGGTTTGGATAGGATTGCCTATTCATTATTCTGTGCCCTGGATAAATTAGACTCTGTGTCTGGATATCAGGAGTAGGAAGGAACACAATAGAATCCCATCTTAGTACTCTTGGAAGAAGAAGGAATTCTAAACTTTCTCATGACCACCAAAGTGCTTTGAAGATTTTAAAAGCAACAAAAGTCCTCTTAGATTACTGGATGTATTCTCAATCTAAAGTGCTTTTAAACTCAGAATAAAATAATTAACAAAACCCCAAAATCTCATCTTGGAAGTTAAATCAAACAATCTGAAAATTCTCTAGTTTTCTGTTATGTTCTAGGTTCCACAGGTTCCCAAATTTATTTGGCCTACTGGCCCCTTTATAAAAAAAAAATTACTCAGCACCCCCCTGGAAATCTACTTTCTTTAACCATTTAACAGTTGTGGGGGTTTTTTTTGAAAGTTGTGTCATTTCAAAAAATATATAAATGACGCATCTTACATTTAATAATTTATTATAAATTTGTGGGCTTTTCCTGCACTGACATTTTGATGATGTAATATTGCATCATTTAACAAGACAGCATCTTATTATAAACAAGTCATTACACACACATATTCCTGTCAACGTGTGCTGGACTTGGAAACAATGCACCACAGGTTTGTCTGATAACACTTGCTTGTTAAGACCTGTCAGCAGACTTGACCACTGATGGGTTATAATTTGCATTTTGTGTGTTTATTTGGAAAAAATGTAATCACTATGACTGCTCTGTTATACAACCAATGAAACATGTACCAAGTTTTTCAAAATTTTCTTATCTTCTCTTCTTTCCTCATCCTTCCACTGCCCCCTTATTTTTATTCAATGCCCCCCAATTGCACTTGAGGCTACTACCCCCCCATCATTCCAGTGGCCCCCAGGGGGCGGTATCACCCACTTTGGGAACTACAAATCATTCAGTCAATAAACATTTATTAAACACTTCCCTTCACACCAGGCATTGTGCTAAGTTCTAGAGTTACAAAGAAACACAAACAAAAGTCTCTCAAAGAGCTTATGATCTAATAAGTGGAGCAACATGCAAACAACTATATACCCACATATACAAGATAAGCTGTAGATAATTAACAAAAAGAAGTTACTAGAATTAAGGGGATCATGAAAGACTTCCTATAGAAGATAAGATGCTAGCTGGGACATGAAGGAAGACATAGAGGCCAGAGGTGGAGATGAGGAGGTCGAAAATTCAGGTCTACCTGTTATATTATTCTGAAATTTTATATTCAACCCAGCATTTATTTTTCCTATTTAAAAAAAATATGTTTATTGCTATCTTTTGGGTTTTTTCTTTTACCATCACCTGCATTTCCCAGTGCCGCCCCAGCAAGAAAACTATCTTATAACAAAGAATAAAAGAGAACAAATTAGTTCATCAAAACTAACCAACATATGAATTGAGTCTTAGAACATATGTTGGATGTTCTATAGCACCAAAAGCCTCCACCCTCTGCAGAGAAAGGAGAAGGTTGAATTCTCCCATCTCTTCTTCAGGAACAACTTTGTTCATTATAATAATTTTTTTCAAAGTAAAAAAGTCAACACTTTTGGTTTCAATTTGGTTGAATTAAGATATTTCACACACACCCCCCCCCCAGATGATTATGCTATCTTTTCAGTATTCTTCCCTACTTTCTCAGGCCATTAACCCTGTTCCAACTTTAGTTCCCTGTATTCCCAATCTTGACCTCATAGTTAACCAATTCAACCGTACACTGTCCTCTACTCCAGAATCTCTTGCCTCCTAATTATCTTATTTCCTATAACAAATGTTCTTCTAAACCTTCTTTTCTCTAGCTTCCTAAAAACACCCCTATTCTCACCCTCTTAGCTGAAAACCTCACCTCTTATTTTACTAATAAAATTGAGACCATTTGGCATAAGTGCCTTATTATTTCTGTCTCTTTATTTCTTCTTCATCATCATCATCATCATCATCGCTGGCATTTATATACTGCTATAAGATTTGCAAAGTGATTTACATGTTATCTCATTTGATCCTCAGAACAATCCTGTAAGTACTATTTTTATCTTCATTTTACAGATGAGGAAACTGAGGCTCAGAGAGGTTAGGTTGACTTGCCCAGGATCACACAGCTAGTAAATGTCTGAGGCAGGATTTAAACTCAGTCCTTCATACTCCAAGTCCAGCCCTCTATCACTCCCATTTTCTCCCAATCTCTCATAATGAGGACCCTTCTCTTGGTCAACCTGTGTCCTTGCTTTCATCATCTGTTCACCAGCAGGTTGCCCTCTCAATCATCCTCTCTCTTGCTCTTTAATCTTGAATCTCTTCCTACCTACTGATTCCTTCCCTGATGTCTTCAAATGTGCCCAAGTCTTCCGAGTCTTCTTCACTAATCACTACCATCCCCTCAAGCTGTCATCCTCTATCCTCATACTTTCTCAGCAAACACCCAGAAAAAGCTTTCTACTCACTGTTCTACTCCCTCTCCTCCCACTGATTCCTCAATCTTTTGTCACCTTGCTTCTGATCTCATCACTCCACTGAAACTGCTCTTTCCAAAGTTACTAACGATATATTAATGACCAAATCTAAGCTTGGTTCTTGTTTCTCATTACTTCTCTGCTACATTTGACATCATTGTTATGTTACTGAGGCTTATAACAAAACATACAGTAACTATTTGTTACAATTTTCTTTTTTTATGGCCTGGGCTGTAGTTAAAACAGACTAACCTTCAGAAACTCTTAAGATCTGAGAGGCATTGAGATTTAACGTAAAGAGCACTGGGTCTGGAGGCAATTTATCTGGGTTCAAATTCAAACTCTGCTCTGTTGACCTATGAGACCTCTCTGGGTTCCATTTTCCTCATCAGTAAAATAAGAATGTTAAACTAGATGATCTTGAAGGTTCCTTCCAGCCCTAAATCTGAGACCAACATCTTTCCCAGCTCCTTACCAGCATGGTCAGACCAAAGACTAGGACCTCAAAGATTGAGATTATTTGATAAATGCGGTGATTGGATTCACCAGAATTCTCAGGAAAGAGTTAGGAGACCTGGATTTTTAGTCTTGCCTTGTTTTATTCCCTAGCTCTGTTAACTTCAAGAAAGACACTTCCCCACATTGGGTGGAGCTCAGTTTTCCCCACCTGTAAAATTCTGGGAGATCATCATTACCACCCTTCTCTTCATAAATTTAATGGCATTGTATTTGGAATCCAGGGGACTTAGGTTTGAATCCTATTTCTGCTGCTTGCTAGGTAATCTTGGGTAAGTCATTTAACCCCTATGGGCCTCTGTTTCTTCCTCTATTAAATGAGGGGATTGGTCTCTAAGTCCTATAAGTCTGTTAACCTTCACATGAGAGCCCTGTGGTTCAAAACTGAAGAGGAGGAAGAAGACTGGGAAATAGTGCCCGGCTATACCTTCCTATATACATACATACATATATACATACATACATACATACATACATACATACATACATACATATAGCACTTGGTCATCTAAAAAGACATGGCCAAATACATGATCTGGTCTCAATAAACTGGCATGTCTTCAGGGAAGTTTTGGGGCAGAGGATGCAGACATTCTCCTGGGTCTGTGTGAGCAGAATCTCACAGGGATGCAGGTTTCAGGTCAACATAAAAGGAGGACTAAAAGTCAGGAGATTTGTGTTCACGCGCTGACTCTGCATTCCATTTCTTGCCTGACTCTAAGACTACTGTAAACAATGAAGGAGAATGGTGTAGGATCCTGCATAAACATTTGAATCTCTGATAAAAGTACTGCTCTGATGCCTCATCTTATTATCAAGATAATCCTGATTTTCAGAAGAGATCACAAGCTCTGGCAAATTGGAAAAGCTTCAAGGAGTCTCTTGAGAAGCTAGAACGCTGGGCCAAATTTAATAGGAGGGAACTTAATAAAGATAAATGTAGTTTTATACTCTGGTACAAAAAATCAGTTTCCAATGTGTAAGATGGGAGAGATGTGTTTAGGTAACAGTTTATATGGGGAGGTGGGGTGGGGAGAGAAAGTCTGAGCATCTTACTGGACTGAAAGTTCTATGAGCCAACTATTTGAAATGCTAGCCAAGAAAACTAATGGGATCTTGGGTTATATAATATTCATATATAATATATATTTACATATAATATACATATAACATTTACATAACACTTAAAGGTTTGCAAAGCACTTTACATATATTGGGCAGCTAAATGAATAGAGTTGATAGAGTGCCAGGCCTGGAGTCAGGGAGATTCATCTGGCCACAGACACATACTAGCTGAGGAACATTGGGCAAGTCACTTAACCATGCTTGCCTCAGTTTCCTTATCTGTAAAATAAGCTGGAGAAGGAAATGGTGAGCCACTACAGTATCCTTGGCCAAGAAAATCCCAAATAGGGCCACAAAGAATCAGACACAATTGAAAACAACTGAACAAAATTTGCATGTATTAACTCATTTGATTCTCACCACAACGCTGAGATACCATTATTATCCCCATTTCACAGATAAGAAAATTAAGGCAAAGAAAGGTTCAATGACTTGCCCAGGATCACAAAGCTAGTGAATACCTGAGGGTAGGTTTGAACTCAGGTATCCTTGATTCAAAGTCCTGCACTCTACCACCTGTACCACCTGGTATATCTGGGACCCTAGTCAGATCACATCTATAAAGTATTATGTTCAAATAATGTTCACCCCATTTTAGGAAGGGCGTTAGTCATCTGGAGAGTGTCCAGAGAGCCCTGATCAGGATTGTGAAAGGCCTCAAGTTCCCACCATATGGGAATTGCTTGAAAGAATTGCAGATTTTTAGCTCTGAGAAGAAGAGAAGTAAATAGTTGCCTTGCCTCCAATCCCTCCCACCTCCAGCCCTTTCACACAGCTACT